ATAGTAATCTGAAATTTAAAAAAAATCAAGGTTTTCATGGGGTTGGCTTCTCCTGGACACTGTACAGGAGAATCTCTCCTATCTTCTGGCACTCTTTGCTTTGTAGCTGCTCAACTCCAATCTCTTACCCTGTCTTCACATGGCTTTTTTCCTGTATCTTGTGTTTCAAATCTCCCTCTCTTTTTTCTTTTTTTGAGACAGAGTATCACTATATCACCCTGGGTAGAGCGCTGTGTCATCACAGCTCACAGCAACCTCAAATTCTTGGGCGTAAGTGATTCTCTTGCCTCAGCCTCCCAAGTATCTTTGAGGCGCCAGTCACAAAGCCTGTCTATTTTTTTGTTGTTGTTGTCATTGTTGTTTAGCAGGCCCAGGCTGGGTTTGAACCTGCCAGCCCCAGTGTATGTGGCCAGCGCCCTAACCACTGAACTTCAGGCACCGAGTCCTTCTCTTTTCTCTTGTAAGGACACAGACATCGTCTGTGGTTCCACACTTGTGTCTTACAAGTGAATGATATTTTTCCCCAGCTGCTTTCCAGCAGACTGTAGGATTCTATTTGGCCAGGGCAAGTGTGGCTTTAACTTTCCATCAGTGTCACCACAAATCATGAGGAACACACCCATCTGTAATGCCAACACTAATGAGGTCATGTTAGGTGTCTGGACCTTGCATGATTAGCAAGCTAAGGGAAGTCACAAGTAGAACATCATCTTGTCCTAATATTTTTGAGAGCCACTGTCATCAAATAAACTGAACTGTAAAAAAAGACAGTCTCTTTGCAATACAGAAAAAAGCTCAATAGTTTTTCCTGAGATTAATTTTAAAAAATATTCAAATCTCAACCTTTACTACAAAACTGAAGTGAAAAAATTGTCCTTCAACAAATATGTATAACCGTATCTTCTAATTTAGAACGAACCTACCAAAATACATTGTTTTTTCAGGTACTGTCTTTAGGTGAACATGGAGGCCTTCTTTCTTCTTCTTCTTTTTTTTTTTAAGACAGAGTTTTACTATGTTGCCCTCGGTAGAGTGCCATGGTCACAGCGTACAGCAATCTGGGCGTAAGCAATTCTCTTGCCTCAGCCTCCCAAATAGCTGGGACTACAGGTGCCTGCCACAATGCCCAGCTATTTTTTTTTTTTTTT